GAGCTCCTGCCTGAACTTGTCTCACCCCATTCCCTGAGACTTCTACCCTATTAAGTTCTCAGACAGGAGTTTTTAGCTTTTTTTTTTTTTTTTCCTGATACATGGGCCCAATTTTTTTTTTTTTTTTTTAAGAGGTTTTTGCTATAGGGCACATGCGCTTGCCAGACAGACAGACAGAAAGTGAGAAATCACCCCCAGGGGGGATGGCCACGCCACAATCCCTTCTCCTTCATTCTCCTCTCAGGATCTTGGGCACACACACTACGTGCCTGGCATGAGTTTAAGCCACTGGGTCCAGGACTCAAACCACCCCTTCTAAGTGTGTTGTTCTTAACAGACCCTCTCAGTTTTTGGATGGAGTTAAGCATGCATTCCAAGGAAGTGTTTTGGTTTTTTTGGGAGAGGTTTGCTATAGGGCGCATGCGCTCGTCAGAAAGACAGAGGGAGACAGAGAGACAGAAAGTGAGAAATCACCCCCCCCCGGGGGGAGTGGCCACACCACAATCCCTTCTCCTCCATTCTCCTCTCGGGATCTTGGGCACGCACGCACATGCACCTGGCATGAGTTTAAGCCACTGGGTCCAGGACTCAAACCATGGTCGACCTCATGGGAGTCCAACAATATAGCCATTACGCCAACTGCTGGTCCCTCCAAGAAGCTGTTTCCAGCTTTCAATGATTTTAAGAAGGCAAGTGTTCTTTGGTCAGGATGTACGCTGGGGCACTCTGGGACCTCTTGCCTCTGCCCGTACCTCCTATGGTCGCAAGGCCACTCCCAGAGACGGTGCTGTTCCTATAGGGATTGGCCAGCTAGGCCAGAGGGTGACAGGAACAGCAAGGCTAGCAAGACTCCGATGTAAAAGAGAGTCGGGGTTTCTCTGTGTCCGGGAACTCCTGCCTCCCTTAGAGCACAGGTAAAATGCCAGAGGGCTGACGTAGCAGAAAAGCCTCTAAAGCGGGGACACTGAGGAAGCGGCTGAGGTCCTAACATTTCCTCCACCCGTTACATGATTAAGACAAGGGAGGGAACCAGCAGTTAGCGTAATGGCTATGTTGCTGGACTCCCACGTAGTTGACCGCGGTTCGTGTCCCGGACCCGGTGGCTTAAAACTCACGCCGGGCGCGTGTGCGTGCGTGCCCAAGATCCCGAGAGGAGAATGGAGGAGAAGGGATTGCAGCGTGACATCCCCCCTGGGGGGTGATTTCTCGCTTTCTGTCTCTATGTCTCTCTCTCTCTCTGTCTGGTGAGCGCACGCGCCCTACAGTGAAAAATCTCTCAAAAAAAAAAAAAAAAAAAGACAAGGGAAAAAACAAAGGAGATCAACCTTGGGATGAAACTCTTGGGAAAGCGTCTTGATAAGCAAAGTCAGCAAATTCACTCTCAGTATCTTCAGTGAGGAGGACAGGGGATAGAACCAGGTAACACCCTCCAGGAGAACGTGGAGAAAATAACGAAAGTGGCAGTAGAACAAAAGAAACCCAAACCAAAAGTCCCAAGATACCCACGGACTCAAACCCTGATTTCCCACAAATTGTCAGAGGGCTAGGGGGGACTCGAACCCCCCTTTCCGTCAAGCCCCTGGATTCCAGCACGTCTGGTGGAATCTAAGTAGGGGGCTCTATAACCGTGTCCGGTCAGCCCTGAATCCAGCTGCCTAAGGAGGGACTTGAACCCCCACCCAGCAGGTCAGACCTCAGGGGGCTTTCCCTTGCCAACCCCGAACTTACCAGTTTGTCTCCCAGAGAGCAGGATAGGAACACCCACAGAAATGCCTCTGGAGGACCGACACTAGAATTGCACAAACTTTCTGGAGGAGCAGTCAGCGTCTCTTACCAGCTGTCAACAGTCCCGAGAGGTGGCTCTGGAGCCCCAGGAAATCCCAGGTGGCGCCTCCCCTAGAACACTCTCCCTAGGACGCCTCACCCAAGTACTGGGTAGGTACTACTCTTGCTGGGGCCTCCAAATGTTATAGTCTACGCAGTAGAAATAAGAGGACATCCAGACGTAGCCACGTTTACTGGAGTTTATTAAGCCAGCAGCACACGGGGGTGGGGCTGGGGGCGACTCATGACTCTCAAAACCCCACGGTCCCGAGTGGAAGGAGAGGGTGTTTATATAGGCAAAGGTCACAGTCAATTCTGGATGGGCACGGAGGAGGGGCTGAGGAGGAAAGGGAGTGGGGCTCCCCTGTGAAGGCTGTCACAGAAGCTGAATCAGACAGGTTAATTACCTCTAAGGGCACTCCCAGACCTTTGTGTAATGCTCCCCATGGGTCCGGGCAGGGGTCTGGTGATTGCTAGTTACATTGTTAAGGAGCAGCTAAACCAAAGGGTTTCGGGCTGGTTAGCAAAGACAGTGAGACTATTAATCACTCTATGTACTCCGGGCAGGAGGAGGAAGCGAGTATAACCCAGAGTTCAAAGATGGAGGTGCTTCTGCTTCAAGGGGAAGAGCTGCCCAGGCACTGGGCCCAAGCTAGAGCCAAGGTCCTGATGCACTGCCTTCCTGGTGTGTTTATCCCATCGGATGAGGAACGTAGGGAGCACAGGGCATGGGTCCCTAAAGCTGCCTGAGGAGGCAAGAAGGTTCCTTGGAAGAGATGACAGCAAGCTTAGCCTTGAAGGAGAAGGAGTCCATGGAGCGGGTAAGGACGTGAAGGCTTTCCAGGCAGAGGCACCAGCATGTGCAAAGGCCTGGAGGAAAAGAGGCCCCGCCGCAGTGGGATAGTTATCGGTGGTGCAATGTTTTGGGGTTGCTGCAGTTGCCAGGGAAAGAAAGAGCGAGCGAGGACAGAAGAAAAGCATAAATTCAGCAATGGGCATCGGGATGTGGAATACTTGTGGGCACATTGCTGTGGTGAGTGAGGACCAGGGTTTAAAGCAAAAATGAAGAGGGGTGACGTAAGTTGTTTTGAGATCATTATCCTTGGCTACAAGGATCAATAACAAGGGTGGCAGCAGGCCACGGTTGGAGTCCAACTTCTCCAGGCAGATAGCCTCCCAGAAGTATTGTTTGTGTAAGGTTGCAGTGACCTTTGCGCAAGGTTGTGGCTTGTGCATTCTTTTGTAATCATTTTTATCAGGCATACGTGCATGCAAACCCTTCTTTGATGGCTTTCTCCAGCTCCATTTTGTCAGGATTTGACACAAGTTGACATGAGTGACTCCATTTTGACTCTGATAACTTTCATAGAGGGAAGGGTGGGAAGGGGAGAGTGAGACCAGGAAAACTGACTGTGGTTGTTCGATATGAGTCTTGTACTCCACATACATAGGTTGGATTCAGATCACAAATCGATAGTTATAAGGCGGAAACCAACTGGTAAAACCATTTTGCTTGTCAGGGCTTATTTTTTATTCTGTAAAATTTGAATGCATGTAGCAGAGGCAGCTGATAGCCCAGGCCCTCCCAATCTCCCCCTTTGCCCTTAGGCAGTTTGCTGGTTTGTTATCCTCAGTTTCTGAAGGTATTTGAATTTGCAACCTCTGGAGGTGGAGGAGAACCATCAAAGGGCCTTGAGCAAAGGAAAGATGGGATCAGACTTTTCCACTGGAAAGTTTCTTCTTAGAACCTCTGAAGTCAGGGACTGTTTTGGTTTTCCATTTTGATAGTCCCAAGGTGTGACTAGGTGCTCGGTACCTACTAGATGCCCCGGGTGTCGTTACCAGTTTTGTTTATAAAGGAATGGGGAAGGAAAAGCAAATGACTGAAGAGACGGTTGTCAGGGCAGGCCAGGGGGAGGGCTCTGTGAGGTCCTGTCCTCTAGGGTAAAGCGCCTGCCCACCACGAATGTTCCCTACAGTACCGCCTCTCCAAGTGTGGGTCACAATCACGCGCCAGGCCGGTTTTCCAGTGCAGATTCCTGGGCCCAGTTGTAGACCTACAGATTGAGAATGGCCAGTGCAACCTGGGCATTTGTATTTAAACAAGCATGCATTGAACTTGAAGACCAGTCCCAGTAGGGGCCAGCAGGTGGCGTAGTTGTTACTTTGCTGGACTCCACATGGCTGACTGCGGTTCGACGTTGTTACTTTGCTGGTCTCCACATGGCTGACTGCGGTTCGAGTGGCTGGACATGGTGGGTTGAAAATCATGCCGGGCGTGTGTGCGTGGGTACCCAAGATCCTGGCAGGAGAATGGAGGAGAAGGGATTGCAGCAGGCCATTCCCCTGGGGAGGTGGGGGAAGGTGATTCTCACTTTGTGTCTCTGTCTCTGTCTTTCCCTCTGGCAATCATACGCACTCTATGGCAAAAAAAACTCAAAAACAAAACAAAACAAACAAACAAACCCACAGTCACTATTCTGGAGCCACAGGTGACTTTGGGACCTGCTTCTG